AGAGAGCTTACTGGCAAGGAGCTGAATGCAAAAAGGCGCACACACCTTGTGCTGCACTGACCACCAGACTGAATCTGATGGGAAAGTGCGCGGCCAAGCCCAGGGAGGCTCCCGCTCTGGCAGGTGGGAGACCTAGCCTGACCCTGCTCCAGCCCCAAACACCCCGGGCGCCTGTGGGAGTCTCTGTGTGCGGGGCCCATGGTGAGAGGAGATTCTCACCATCGCCACCGCCACCCCACGCCCTATCTTTCCGAGCCCCCCCCCGCCCCCCGCAACGTGAGGGCTGCTGGGCCGTGGTCTTCCTGGGGTGACATCATGCAGCTATGTACCGGTGGAGAACCTTCTCTGCACGCCCCTCCCCGGCCTCAGCCCCTCCTCCTCTGGTTGGCCTGAATCTAAGAGCCAGCTGACTGGTGACTCACCCTGTCATTAAGGTTTGCCCATCAATGGAAACCAGAGCTCCAAAGTCTCTCTCCAGGACTGTCCCTGGGGAAACTCTTCGGCAGAAGGCTGCCTTGCCAGGCACCTCAGGCCAGCTGGCCTAAGTGGCATCTGCAGGGGCATCTGCTTATACTCAGGGCCTGGCATGAGCCGCGGGCCTGGCAGGGACCAGAAGACTTGCTCTGAGCCCTCCTGCCACCAAGTCACCAAGAAAGCCACAAGGAGGCCAGTGAGCACCTAGAAACATAAACAGGTGAAGAGACCTGCGCCTTCCTCACAGCAGTCGGGTCGGGGTTCACCCAGGGCCTAGTGGGCCAAACATCACGTGGTAGAAAGCATGTTACATGTTACATTTGCGACCGGAAACTGGGATTCCCAACTCAACCTGCACTTAATTACACGGGCTTCCATTTTACTACTGCCTCTCTGCCACTCAGTGTCTCCACCTGTAAAATGGGGGAAGAAATCAACATAAGAATACAAACCTGTCCTTGTTCTAACTAACCCATGGGTAGCAATTAAGCACACGAAACCCCTTTGTAAACCATGAAGACAGTGTCAGAGAATAATCTTTTTACTCTCAAATGTTTATTTCTCATCGCGAGCCTCTCCTCCGGGGTGTGGCTCACATTCTCAGCTCCCGATCCCTAGTCCTCCCTAATGGCTGACGGGCACACCGTGGCCACTGCTGGCCCTCAGCAGCCAGCGATGCCTACTGCGGCCAGAGCCCTCGGCAAGGCGTCTCCAGCTGCAAAAGCTTCCTCAGGAGACATGTTCAGCATGGCTCTATAGGAAATTTCCAACTCTCATCTGGCCCTGAAACTGACTTGATCAAAAAGCACACATGTGCCCCTTCTTCCAATGCCTGCTCCTCTTGGCTTCCTTCTCTGTCGGCTACGAGAGCCCGTACGGGTGTGTAAGCCTCGGGCAGAGGCATCACCCTTGAAACTTCGCCCCCCACCCCTCACACAGCCTGCTACCCACCATCTTCCTTCTCTCACCGGGGCTCTCCAGAACTGGACCTGAACGTCAGTCCAGTCACGGGAGCTAAGGAACCTTTCTTCACGAGACTGACACATGGTGTCCTCCTCCGTGAAAGGAGAACATGGACACTGCAGAACTGCTGGGAGGATTCAGTAAGACTGTGTTTGCCAAGTGCGCAGCGCACGTCCGCTGAGTTATAGCTGGTAGCTCAGCGGGTGCCCCCCACCCCCCCGCCCCGATGCCCTGTGTCACCAGCCTTTCCCCGTCCCCCACACTATCGTCAACCCTTGTCTTCCCTTTGCCTGGACTCCCCTCTCCCTCTTCCCCTCTCCTGCCCATGAAGATCAGATGCACCTTCCACGGACTATCCTCCCAAGGCCGCCACCTTGGCATCCAGCAGGGATGCCTATATCCTCTCAACTGTAAAAGGTTCTTACACCTTGTTTCTATAACTCACAAGACACTCGACATCACTACTATGCTCCCTGCTTTGGTGTATCGCCTCTTCTAACAAACTGTCATGTTTATCTTCCTCACACATACCACAGACAATAGTTTCTACATGACTGAAGGCAATAGTCAATCAATCACGCACGCCCGGACCTGGCACAAGCAAATGGAAAGCCATTTGGAAGTAATGGAAAGATTTAAACAAAGAACAAGACACTAAAGACACCTCCCAATTTGGGTGCTGATTCTTCAACGAGTATCTTACAATCTTACAAAAGGACTGGCTGTAGCTGTTTCATACAACGATACAGTAGATCGGCCCCTCTCCCCATGTTCCCCTTCAAGCCATCCCCTCGGTGTGCTGACTGGCCTACTGGTGACCTCACAGAACAGAGAAAGGTCAAGTCCAATGCCTGGTAATGGACAGAGGGAAGGAGAGAATCAAGAGCGGTGTTTCCTGTCACGTACAAGCCTGCGGCTGCCCATCTGTCTCGACCTGTCCCCTCGCCTCCCTGGTCAGAGGCTGTCCCACTCACTCCTCAGGCACCAGCCAGTGCCGGTGACCTGGGCTCCAGAGCCCCAGGCTACCAGGACAAAGAGGAAGCAGAGAAGTGACTTTGGAACCAGAAACAGATGGGAGGGGTCCTGGGAGAGGCTTTCGGGCGCGGCCCAGTGGGTGGTAAGAGCCAAAGAATGCCCACCTTCACCCAGGGCAGACATGAGCTGATGCCTGCAGTCCTTCACCTTGATTAGCGACTGCAGGGGCTCAACCCACTAGGTCCCCTTCCCGCCCTGGGACAAGGGCTGAGAAAACCTGCTGCCTCTGAGTGGCCAGAGCTGAGGGCTCTCCCACCACCAAAGACACTGCCTGCTCGCCGTCCCAAGGCAGCGGTGAACTGCGGGTGTCGCCACCAGAGAATAAAATGCCCTTTAAATCTCTCCTGTGGGGAGACGGAGCCCAGACCCGCACCAGCAGGAAGCGCGGGCTCCACATTCGCAGGGCCGGGCTGTGGCCTTCCTGTGGGGGGCCCCGCGGGGGCACCCAGCCTGCGGCCTCGGTCTCAGGCTGGGCAGGTCCCCTCCACAGCGCTAGACACCCTCCCAGGAATTCAGATACTCTCCCCAAGAAAACAATTTTACATTTTTTTTAAAAAACGGAGAATCTCAATGTTTCCTTTGTCCTTTCCGTACAGAAGCCTGCCAGCACCTGGAAATGAGTATTTATTCTCTTCTTGGGACCACTAAGTGGAACCCCAGACAACGTACAGTTTCTAGCCTCTTAGGTCCCTCATGGCTGTGAGCAGACAGGACGGGAGTTGTAGGACGGACAGACTCTGCTCTTTCCTTTCCCTGGTGACTAAGCCCCAAATGATGGGGTACATCCCCTCATCCTCCTCGTTCCACTCCAGAAGAGTCTTCTTCCCTACAGGAAACCTGGCTCCAGACCGCGGTGGGTCCTCTTTGCCCTTCCTTCTTGCAGAGCCACTGCCTCACTCCTGACGGGAAAGCCAGGACGCCCCGGCTGCACTCTCGTTTTGCCTGCTCCTGGCTTCCACGGCGAAGAGGCTTCGAGGGAGGCGGGCTTCCAGCCCTTCCTGGGATGACAAACTCAGGTGTCAAAAAACAAGGCAGTTCCTTACTCTCACTCCCGGGAGCCTAACCCAGAAACTGTTACCAAGAAACAACCATAACAGACCGCATGCAGCAACAGTACGCCTGGGACTCAAGCAGAGACAGGTCAACATGCTCATGGAACGTACAGCCCATCCTCTGGACAAGAAAGAATAACAAAATGGACCCTAAAGAGTTGACATTCTTCTCTCTCCCCACAGAGTGTCACCCTTGCTCCACGTGTTTCTGCAGCTTGCTCAAATCGAAACCCCTCGGCCACAGATTCGACACACGGCGCCTGGACAGAATTTACCTCCAATTCTGCGTTATTCAAAGGATCCCTTTGGTCAGCTTGGGAGCCTGGAGCAAGGCAGAGCCTCCGCGAGGCACTCCGTCCTCCTGGCTCAGACCCGCACCCCCGGCCCCCTCCCCTCTGTGGCCGGCCTCCGTTCCTCCACCCCTCCCCATCCTTACGTCTCCCCGGCCTTTCCTCTCCGTCATCTCCCTAACGTGCCCTTCCCCGGAAAATCCGCAGATGGTCTGGTGGCTGTGATGGCCAGGCCTGGGGACTCAGGAGGAGGGAGACCAGATGCCAAGTGTGAGCTGCTGGAACCCTGGTGAGCGGAGAACGAGCCCTAATATGACTGACTGGCTGCAGGAGAGCCACCCTTGGAATGGCGCATGTGGAAGAAAGGCCTGGGTCTCACGGACTCCCACCAAGAGCCCTGAGAAATGAAGTTAATACATTCTTCCTGGACTTTCGGGACTCCCACGCCTGTCCGTGACATGGTTCCAACCCCCTTCTCCCCAAAGTGGGCCCAGCTCCCAGCTCATAAAACGACGATTAGCTGACAGGTTCGCATGGGAGCCCATCCCACCTGCCTGGCTCTCCTCCTCCGCCTCCCTGGCGGCCCGCCAAGCCCCACCGGCAGGAACACGGCGGAAGAACTTGCCTTTCCGTCCTCGAACCCTCAGCGTTTATTTCAGATGTGTGAACTTCACAGCAGCACGTGTGGAACAATGGGTAGCTTTCAGCTTAGTAGACAGCAAAAAATATAATATATATAATATATTTCTATAATTATGTTTAAATACTTATCAAGAATAACTAACCTCATTGTTACTAAGGGAGACTACACAAAAGACTGGGAGAGAACCAGTTTAGAGTAGACGAGTCCCGAATGGCGGCAGTTCGTTCCAAATGGGTGTGAAGAGCATGTCCCAGGCCACATCTCTCCCAGTGTTTTGGTGGACAAGTTGGGTGGGCTGGAGAGCGGGCAGGGTGCCTAGTGGGGTGTAGGCAGGAGGTGAGGATGGAGTCGGAGAGAATGTAAGTGAGGGAGGAGGTCCTCGCGCACCTATCATATTTCTCCTCCTTTCAATCACCTGCCTCTTTGAAGAAACCTTTGCCTACGATTCGTCCTTACTTGCGCTACTCGATGTGACGGGTGACCCAATAAACATCCTCCTGCGTTCCTTACGCGCTTCTTCACGCTCCTCCTCCGCCATGTCACGAGCTTCCTTCTCCATTTGCCTTTGGTTTCCCTTTGTGGGGCCCTCCCTTTCTTCCTGCCTCCAGGGCAGCGGGAGGGGCTCCGTCCCCAGTCACTGGTTCTCCTCCGCCTTGGGGTCTCGGCAGGTGCATTCGTCCAGGTCACAGTCAGCCGCGAACGGGATGACCTAGGGGATCAGAGGCAAGTGGAACAGCCCAGCCCCCTTCCCGTGCCAGGGGTCACGCTTCTCTCAGCGGGTCCCAGGAGGGCGAGGGGTGCAGGGTCCCGCATTACCACCGCGCCGCCGCGGCGAGCCCCCGGCCTCCCGCCAGCACGCCGGCTGCTGCACTCTCTCCGCTCAGAAAGTGGGCAGCCATGCAGGGACCACCCCAGAGGACGTGCGCATGATTTAAAGGAGAGGATGGTGCAAAATCCACACCTCCGGGGACCTGTAAGTCCTCCCACTATCACCGCTAACGTCTACAACTGCTGCTGCTCATGTTTTTGGTGCATTAGTGTCATCACAGAGTCGCTTTACGGTAGGCGAGGTGAGGGGTCGTGTGACCTTTCACAGAGAGGGCCCAGGGAGGTCGGTGACATGACTGCAGGCTGTGACACACGGTCTGGAAGGCCACCCCCATGGCCCGGCTCTATGGCTCCTGCTGCCCCCGCTGCTCCCGGCGCGGTGGCCTCGCCTTCACCGGCCTCACGAGCATGGGGCTCCGCTTTTCTCGAACGGAGGCCGCGCTGCGGCATGGTGACGCGAGGCCTCCCCCTGCCCGCCGCCTGTGGCTGGCCTGCCTCCCGCTGTGTGAGTAGCCCTCCTTCACGCCAGCGATGGTCCAAAAACGTGTGCACTGTCTGCACTGCTACCGACAGGTAAACATCCCTTCAGGATGCCCGCAACGAGCTTCAGAGAGTGGGCCGTCTGGGACACAGGATGTAAAAGTGGCAAAGATTTCTACCCTTCGGGCTTGGACAATCAAATGAGATAAAAATAGATTACGCTTTAATCGTCCAACTGCACTGGGCAGAAATACCATCTCTTGACTATTTCTGATTCATCCAATTGGCCAACTAGCATCAAATAGCTTTGGTGCACTTGGTTTTTTATCAGCATTATTGAAAAATTTCAGCCTATTGAATTTCATAGGTTTAGCCTAAGGGTACCTGCTAATTCAATAGAACCTGGAGCAAAAGGAATACAAGGCGGAAAGGCCCGCTGCACAGGGCGTGGCACAGGAATGCTCCAGGCGGCCGGCGGTGGCCGCTCAGCCGATGCTCACAGTAGGCTTGTAACACACGTCACAGGGTCATTCATGAAACTCTGAAGCCGAATACCTGGGAGTCGCCTCCCTGGTCATTCTGCCTCCTGGATAGGGGGAGGCCCCTGTCTCCTGCCTAGAGACACTTCCTGGCTGGTAAGCAGGTGTGAGTCTTTCCGTGGCAAAAACCCCAGTTTTTCTGAAGGAGTCACTAGACTGACAATTAGAGAATTAGTATTTTTTAAGAATCTACCCTAAAACCCCTACCCTGAATCCCGTCACTTTAGATGCCCTGGTGTTTGCTCATTGTAATTCCCTCTCCTTGACTAGTGAATAAAAACTGGCTGGAGGAGAGCCACCCCTGGGTGCAGTCGATACGTCCTGGGTGCACTGATGACGACGCACCCAGGAGAGCCGGCCCCAGCGCCTGACCCGGCCCCCGGGGCTGCCCCGCGCCGCGCCCCCGCCCCGGCGCCCTCACTTACCTTCTTAGAGGAGAGGGTGGAGGGGCAGCAGTCGCCCCCGTCGTAATGGCAGTAGGCCCGGTTGTTGATGGTGTCACACCAGCCATCTGCCTGGAAAGGCTGGCAAGGGGGCGGGCGTTCAGTGCCCCAGCCCAGCTTCATCCCCAGCCCCACTCGCCCCACCCCCACCACGGTCTGCAGAACGGGGGGACAGCACCGGGGAGCGCCCGGGGCGCGGGACACAAATGGCCGCGTGGTCTCAGGAAGCTGAAGTCCCAAGACGAGACGGCGGAGGCTAAGCAATGATGGCATTTCACTGGCAGCGCCTCCCCCGCCACCTGGAGGTCTGGAGGGGTCACCGGAGCTGCCCGAGGAACTGGTCTATGGTCTTGTAGGAACAGGCCCTTACATCATACAGATTACGAAAGAGCATCACACATTTTGACTCTCGACCATCAGGGAAAAACCTGTGCATCAGGCAGAGTGGGCCATGAAAGGCCTATGTCATCAGCAAGGAGCCCTGGTGGGTGTGCCTCAGTGGACTGAGTGCCGGCCCAGTCAGTGCACATGCCTGGGCTGCCGGCGGGTCCCCGGTCGGGGGCGTGCGGGAGGCATCCACACATTGATGTTTCTCCCCCTCTCTTTCTCCCACCCTTCCCCTCTCTAAAAATAAATAAGATCTTTCAAAAAAAGAAAAGTCTTCTGTTATCAGCAAGGAAACAGAGAAGCAGAGTGACAAAAACTGTCTTGGGTCACACAGTCACAGCCAAGCAAAGCCTGGGATCGGATGTACCTTGACTTTTTGGCACCGCTCACAGGTTAAAGACTACGACTTCCAGCCCTTCTCAGGGACCTCCTGCCCAGGGCCCCAAGGAGTTCGGAGGGACTATGAAGACTCAAGTGCTGTCAGTCCAGAGCACGGCGGTCCTCGTGTTTGGGACCCCCATACCGGGGCAGAGAGAGTCCCACACGCACAGCCACCTGCGCGCAGCTGCTGGACATGGGGCTAGTGCAGCAAAAGCCAAACTGTTTCCATTCGCCCCTCCTACCGCTGCGAGTTCACAGGGACCAAAACGGGAAAGGGGCCGAGGCCAAACCAGAGTTAATGGAGTGTTTCACTCCAAAGGGAACGCATGGTAAGAATAGCAACAAGCAGTTAAAAACTCAGCGCCCAGCGCATTGTTTCTCTACAGCCACTCCTGGCGGGAAACAGCGGCCCACAGCGGCCCGGAGGGCGCAGCCGCCAGCCTGTCCGCGCAGTCACGTCCGCCTCCCCCACCCTCAGCGATGCCCCACGGCAGAGCCTCAGCAAGCGTCTCGTGGTCAGGCTCTTTGGGCCACAAGACGGTCCACAGACTCCTGAGTTCTGAGGCCACCTTCCAGTTTACATGTCCCCCCACCCTCCTTAAATGTCAAATAGGACTGTTCCCTATTTTGCTGTGCTTGGATGAGACAGATCACTAAACGCAAAAAGAAAAATGGCCATTAAATAACTTTCACCAATTGAGTTACATCAGAACCAGCTCATCCAAGATATCACTTCAGTGTTTTGATTTATTCTATGGGGTCCTGAGGTCATTTGAGCATCATTCCAGATGTGCACCCGTTTACCAATCACTAAAAAGCAGCTACTTGTGGGGTGGAACTCGGCAGCTGTCACACAGCTGCAGCAACGTCAGCGGAGAGCAGGAAGTGAAAATGAATTCTGTTTTCAGCAGGGGGCTCGCTGGGATAAAACACAAAGGTTCCGAGATGAGCATCTGTCTTTGACGCTGGGGCCAGCCACTCTGGCTCTGCAGAACTGGGACAATTATACAATCAGGATTTGCATTCATCACTGCAGCCAGGTAATAGGACTCAAAATACAACTACCTGCATCCTTAACACCCACCGACGCCCAGGGTCCTCCCAGGAGGACTGGACGCAGCTACCAAGATTCCCCTGAAGTTTCTTTCTCTTCTCCAAGTGTCTGGAGCACACTTTCTCATGTCACGTGGCATCTGTTCCTTTTCCTCCAGTCTCAGCTGACTCACTGGCACAAATAAGCTGTTCCTTCTTTCTTTTTCATGTACTTGTCTATAAAAAAGACCACCTGAAATACTTTTCCTGCTATATAAGTAAGGTTTCAGGACAGAGGATTAACGGGAGATCTTCCTTTTCACAAGAATGATGTAAATATCTGGGCGCATTCACAAAGGTGCTGGGAATCCTTCTTCCAGAGGACTTCCCAGCATGGCTTCTCACCCAGAGGCCGTTAGCGGGATGCACTGGAAAGAGCAGAAACACTTCAGGAACCTTCCCTAGAAGCTGCTTCTTTTCTGCTCTTAAAGGGTCATCTGGGAAGAGAAGGGAATTTATAAAAAGCAGCAGAAATATGGGGAAAAGGTTGGAAACACATGAGTATTTAATTTACTATATACCTATTAGAATTAATTGCTCCTCCCCCAACCTGCCAAAAACAACTTCTCCGCCCGAAACAAACAGAGTCTCCCGTGGCAACGCGGCCCTGGGAAGAAGCTTGCAATGGAAAAAATAGGAGGGGAAAGTGACTAAGTGACCCCGAGCTCCTTACGCATCTGAAGGCCGGATGGAGACTAGGAGCTCACAGTCTCGGGGACTGAAAGGTCCAGACACAGGACGCCACTCCTTCCCAGGGGAGTGCGCGCGGCGCCGCATCCCTGCCCGATGCGACCACTGGTGACGTGGCACCATGCGCACACCTCACCTATCCCATCAGGAAGCAAAGTGTACTTTTCAAATACCTGAAACCTTTTCCTTTAGAAGCCACTTTTTCATTTTAACCATTTTTACCAAAGAGGAAACCTTTATACAATGTCTACATCCTTGACTTTTAATAATGTATAGAGCACAAAGTCATCGACATGAACACCTCTCTCTCTCTCTCTCTCTCTCTCTCTCTCTCTCTCTCTCACACACACACACACACACACACACATCTCTTTTATCCCTGAGCCTGCCTGACTCAAGCTTCTTAGAAGTATATGTCAACCGCGAAGCCCCCGAGAGCCTGGGCAGCTCCCCTCCGGCAGCGTGAGCTTGCAGGCCCGCTGCAGCCGGCGCTCGCCGGCTCTCCTGTCAGGCTCCCTGGGCTCGCTGTGTTCCCGGCACAGGAGGCGGCCGAGCACATGGCTGCGTGTAACACAAAGGGGAAGGGCTGTCTGTCTCTCCTGCCTACAGCGCTTGGGAAACTTCTCCGCAGCAGAGATCATTCCTTCTCTATGTTATGTGACCTGGTGATACCCTGGCGAAGGTTCAGCTGGGGAGTTAGCCACAGAGGTGGCAGCCCTGTCTCTGGCCCACAGATGTAGCCCTTCACTCACTCAGTTGGTCAACACTGCTTACCCCACCAGGCATGGTTATGAGGGCACATAAATAAACAAACCAAACCCGGCTCCAGCCCTGAGGAGAACCCACCGTAAGTACGTACCACTGACTCGTGGGAGGAGAACCAGCACAGCAGGGAGATGTGGGCGGGGAAGAAGTCCCTAATCGGGATTTGGGAGCAGGGGATATGCATGAGTTTTCAGGGTCTGGCTCTACGAGTAGCCCTTGTGGAGGACACTTGGGGCTGGATGACCGAGAGAGGAAGAAGAGCCTGAGAAAACTGTCAGGGGAAGAAGATGGCGAACACGGAGAGCTGATGGCCCCAGACCGCCTGGTACAGGGCCCGCCCTCGGAAGAGGTCCATTGGCTTTGACTGATTGGCTGGTAACCCCTCTATGCCTTGGATTAGATTAAGGACGTTTTTCTTCTATGGCTTTTAACAGAATTCATGACCACAGGTGTTTTAGAAAGGTTCATTTGGACTTGGAATCTTCTAACCCACAGGCTGGGGCCTCAGCCAGAGTGGCCATATCCCCTTAGGTAAGACAGGAGCAGAATCCTGATCAAGCCTCTCGAAGAGGGCTGCAGACCAGGAGAAGATGTCATCAAGTTTTTGCCTAAGGTCTAACACATTTTCTTTCTTCCGCATCATTTCCCATTGAAAGCTTCTGGTTACATGAATGACAAGTGAGCTGCAGAAAGGACTTCTGGGTCCTTTGCCTAAGGCGGCTAAGGTGCGGCACCCAAGGGAGCCCTTGTCGCAGTTAAAAGCTCCATGTAAAAGTACACTTATTTTCTGTGTGTGTGCTAATCTCTCTTCCTCTGACTCTCCACTGAAAGGTGACCTCTGGCCTAGCTCTCACTCCCTTTTGGGGCGTGGACGGCCGGCTGTGTCCACATGGCCTGGCCTTCACATGAGACTCTCTTACAAGCTCAGGAGCAAAACATGGGGGACCTGGGAGGCCCCACAGGGACCCCTGGTGACCAGAACACTACTTGCTCTTTGCTTTTTAAGGACCACAGACACAGGAAATTTGAAGGCTGGATAGAGACATGAAAGCCACTTAGTACAAAATTCTCATCTTTCTAACGATAAGATGGAGACTTCAAAAGGTGAACTGTTTTGCTTGCAAGGCTAGTTAGTGGCAGCCCTCGGGATGGAGCCTGGATCCCTCGATTCTTGATCTGATGTTCTTTTCACCATACCAGGCTCCCTTGATTTGATGATTTCATTATCCTTTTAATTTATTGGGAATGCAGGTAACATAAATTCCTTTGGCACCTCTATGTAAAGAGCTCAGGTGCAGAGGCATTTGTATTGAAGTAAACCCAGAGATCCAACCTGGAAACCAAGAGTGGGTATTCTATACACATAATCTCCATCTCCCTGGATGCCCACAAATTCACTTCCATTTTTCCCAGTCGCGGGCCCCAGGTTATCCCCAGCAAGCCGCTGGCACTGCAGCTCCCTGGTCCTGGGCCTCGGCTGCTCGGTATCTGCCTAGAGGCCGACTCTCCCAGAGGAAGCAGCACCGTGCCTCCCTCCCATCAGCAGGCGCTGCAGTGCAGAAACACCTATTTCTGGCCCCAGGATGCCACAGCCAGGAGCGTTTACCTGCTCGTCCTGCTCACTGCAGTCATCTGAGACAAGAGGAAACGAAGTCTTTCCACTCTCCCCACGCTCACCCCTTGGGGTGGGAGGCACCAACGCGCTCACATTTCTGGGTTTGCAACCTTCTTTTTGGAAAATGTAAAAGGGAAATAGAGACCCTGAG